GCTCTCTCTCTGCGTAGGAGCGTAGGAGCTGTGTGGGTGACACGACTTTAAATGGCGTCCCAAGAACTCAAATCAACAAATGTTTATTGAGCACCTGCAGCATGCTGGGCTTTGGGGCAAGACTGACTCCCTAGGGAACCAAGGTCCTATTCTTTTAAGGTAAATCCTGAGTCTGGAAGACAGACCGTCTGGGTTAAAATCTCGCCTCTCAGGTAAATTGTCAGTTGTCCCTGGGTAAGCAATGTCCCTCACTGGACCTCATGTCACCGTTTGGGGATAGGGGAGGAGAGTCCACTTCCTCCCTTCCCTGGAGCCAGATGTGATTAGGAAAAAGGGGTCTTGGGAGGAGGAATTCAGGAGGGGTAATGATCAGTTTTCTGCTCGATGCTGGGCATCCTTCCAGTCATTCCTGTTGGGAGAAGGGAGGCGTCCTGGTCAGACCCTTCTTGTGTTCAGTCCCCCACCGTGTCTTCCGCACACTGGGTAGGCTGCGCTCAGTGATGGTGCCAGGACTGTCATAGTCCAGAAGAAAGGCTTTCGATGACACAGCCAATATCAGGGACCGCGGCCTCATTTGCGGGGAGCTAGCCTCTCCCTCCTCTCCTGGCCGGCCGCTCTGGAGGCCTCCTCAGCGTCGGGCGGGCGTCTCTGGCTGAGGACGAACAACACACAGCCCAGCAAAGCGTCTCGAACATCCTGCGAGCCTAGGCGGCGGGCCAGTCGGCGCAGCAGGGGCAGGAGGTGCCGGCGGGCCAGGCGGGCGGCAGGCAGAAGCAGGCGGCCCGTCAGCGTTCGCAGCAGTAACGGGAGCAGTGGGACCGGCATGGCTGGGTCCGGGACTGTGGAGGCAATCCAGGCTCTAGGCTTGCCCCTTTCCTGCTCCATCCTCACCTGGCAAACACTCGGGGTGGGCAGGCTTCCCCCCTCCGCCTCAGTTTCTACCCTTATGCTCCCCCCCCACCTCAGTTTATGGGTCATTTTTGCTTTCCAGAAGCCCTTTCTCTTGGCAAGGTAGCTGGGGCAGGAGGGTTCTTACCATAGCGCAGATGAAGACACCAAGGCAAAAATAAAGCTGGGGCTAGGACTTACGGTTTGCCCTTCCCAGCCTCCAGGGGCTCCTACTGTTCCCTAGATCTCCCCCCTCCACCTCACCCCATTCACACCCTCAGGCTCCCTGGCATTCCCCAACTCCTCTCAACTCCTTCCCCAGGCAATTCTAAGTTTTCTTCTGAGGCCCCTTGATCCACCCTGACCTGACACTTCCGACCCTCCCAATCCCCCACACCCACCGGTCAGCAGCCGCTCTCACCAGTCAGAACTGTTGCTCAGAATGAATCTCTGGCTGGATTTGCCTGCAGGGGCACAGCCTCACTGGCCCCTACCCGGCTGCCCCACCAAGCTCAGCCCCACCCTAGGACAGCTTGCCTGGGTGGGGGGAGCCACGAAGAGACAGCTGTGTTCTGGCACCTGGTATATTGAGGGGAGGAGGCTGCTGGGCTAGAAGAAGTGGAAGGAACAGATGCAGGAATTCTTCCTGCTGGTTGTAGAACCCAGGCTGCACTTTCTAATGGTGTGACTCAGGCACATTGATTCCTCTGGTCTCCAGTCCCATCCTCTGTTAACTCAGTAACTGGGAGTTAACTGGCAGGGGTAACGGGAATGGAACACTGTGAGAGACCCACTTGCCCAAATCTCAGAAGCAGGAAGACTGCGGCCTAGACACACCAGCAGAGAGTGACCCACACAGGGAGAATAGGACGTGGGCAAGCACTTGTGGGCTGTCTCCGGCGGGTAGAGGAGTGGGGTCACAGTCCATCAGGTAGCTGGGCTGAGTTGGACACAGTGGGGTGGCACTCCCACTCAGGACAGGAAGAGGGAGACCCACTTAAGGACCCTCGTTGCCCACTTTTCCCCCAAGATTAAGTGAAGTTCCATGAGATAGCCTGATACAGAGACAGCCTGGGTTTGTTTTGTTTTTAAATACCTCATCCTCCTACTTCCTAAAATGGGTCTACTTTTTGCCTTTCTGGACTCCGAAGAGATAATGGCCATGAAAGTATTTTGTAAGCTTCACAGCCTCGGGAGTATCAATGATCCTCATTCCACCACCAGCCTCCATCGGTACCATCACCATCTCTAAAACTGTCAAAGACCTTGAAGAAAGAAAACGTAAATATCAAAAATGCCCGGCCCACTTGTGCCTGGAGGAAGCAGGGGAGAGGAGCTAGAGCACAGATTTACTGACATAGTGCTCCTCTCCTTCGGGGTGCTTCCCCAGCCCACGTGTTGGCCGCGGGCCATCCCCAGGCCATGGGCGGGACATATACTGAGTCCACATATGGGCCAATCCTGTGAATTCATGATCTCACTCAGCTCTTACCTCCACTCTGCAGGATTGCCATTATTATAACCATTGTAAAGATGAGGAAACTGAGGTTCAGAGTGTTTAAGCAACTTACCCAAAGTCATACAGCAGATAAATGGCCTGATCTCCCCCCAAACCTGCCCCTCCCTCAGGCCTTCCCACCTCTGTAAGTGGCAACTGCCACTTTCTAGTTCCTCTGGCCAAAATCTTGGACGTTATCTTGACTTCTCTCTTCCCATCACAGTTCACTACCCGTATTAGTAAATCCTGGTAGCTCTACTTTCAAAATATTCAGAATCTCACCACCTCACTGATGTCGTCATGACTACCCTTTGTCTAAGCATTCATCATTTCTCACCTGAATTATTATAGTAGCCTGCTAACTGGTGTTCCTGTTTCTCTTTTCCATACAGAGACCAGAATGATCTTTTTAAAACATGAATCAGATCCTGTCTTCTTTCTGCACAAACTGTCCAGGGGCTCCCACCTCACTCAGAGTTAAAGCCAGAGGCTTTCATTGTGACCTACAAGGCCTTGGGTGGTCTGACCTCCCCTAGCTTTCTGACTCAACTTCTATCCTTGTCTCTGTCATTCTGCTCCAGCCACACTGGCTTCCTTGCTTTTCCTTAACTGTGCCAGATGTATTTTCTACCTCAGGGCCTTTGCACCTATTGTTGCTCCTTTGCACAAGGCTCTTTCTCCAGGTATCTATCTCGCTCTATCTCTCACCTCCAAGTCTTTGCCCATATGCTACCTATCCATTCTATTTATTTATTTATTTATTTTTAAAGATTTTATTTATTTGTCAGAGAGAGAGAGAGAGCACACGCAGGGGGAGTGGGAGAGGGAGAAGCAGGCTCCCCGCTGAGCAAGGAGCCCGATGCGGGACTCGATCCCAGGACCCTGGGATCATGACCTGAGCTGAAGGCAGACGCTTAAGGACTGAGCCACCCGGGCATCCCTATCCATTCTATTTAAAAGTACACTCCTCCACCCCATTCCCTCTGTCTCCTCTCTATCCAAACCTCTGTTTTACTTCTCTCCACAGCGAATCATTATCCGTAATGCTATATATTTTATTTTACTTCCTTATCTTGTTGATTATCTGCCTCCCCCACAAGAATGTAGGGATTCACCTCTCTTTTATCTGCTGCTGTGTCCTCAGTGCTCGGCAATAAACAATGTAAGAATAAATCAGTAGAGGGAACACCTGGGTGGCTCAGTGGGTTCAGCGTCTGCCTTCGGCTCAGGTCATGATCCCCAGGTCCTGGGATCGAGTCCCACACATCGGGCTCCCTGCTCGGCGGGGAGCCTGCTTCTCCTTCTGCCTGCCGCTCCCCCTGCTTGTGCGCTCCCTCTCTCTGACAAATAGATAAATAAATAAAATCTTAAAAAAGACTAAATCACTAGAGGCTCTGTGATGGGACCCAACCTCAGGCCTGCTCGTCCACACCCTGTGCTGGAGAACCCCAGAGCTCCATCGATCTGAATACACTCCTCAGATGTGAGAATCCCACTTGCTGAGAGAGCCTTTTGGACAGGGGGGAACCGACCTCATGAACCCAAGGGAGAAGAAGTCAGACTCGATGGTTCCCTCCGGGCCCCTCTGAAGTGTGTAATTTTGAGGGAACCCTGGGGTCCCAACCAAGCACTGGCCCACGTAAGCCACTGCTGTGACCTCAAGTCACCCCCCCCAACCTCAGTTTCCCCAGCTGTGAGGTCCTTGGACCCTGGACCTGGAGCCAGCCCCATCCCCCATCCCCTCACCCCCACCTCAGCAGAGTGAGGGGATCCAGGGCCTGGGACAGCGAGGCAAGTAAGAGAAACAGGATGTTGTCTCTGGTAACAATGGGGAACCCCGGGCAGGGGGGGCGGGTAGAGGTGCGGGGTGTGGGGGGGAACTAACTGCCACAACCTTGGGCTGGTCGTAGCTTACTCTCTACCCTGCAACGCCCCTGTCCACCTCCTCCCCACCCTCACCTGGGTTAATCCTTCCCCACACCCATCAGCCTGCCCCAGACATTTTCTCCAAGGTAGAAAACCAAGGGCTCTGCTAAGGATTTCCTCAGCCTTTCCTGGAAAGATAATCATCCTCTCTGGCAAGAGAGCTACCACAGAGCAATTCCTTCTAGTTCCTGATTTAGCCTGTGTAATGGATCCTGCCTGCACCACCCTGACCTCTACCCCCCACCCCCTGCTGCTGGGGAGAGGCCAGCAACTTTGAGGAAATCCGCCAAACCTCCTGTTCCTTAAAGTCAATTAAAAAAAAAAAAAGGGATCTCCGTGCCAACTTGTGAAGTTGAGGCCTGTGAACTGGACAGTAAGTCACCCCTGCAATCCTCCTCCCTGGTCCTCTTCCCAGACCCTCAGGGCCGTCCAGGAGCATTCTGGAGAGCCCCCCTGCCCCCCTAATTAGGCTTCCATTAATTGGGCCATTCATGTCAACAACAAGCCCTGGAGCGCAAGCAAGTGTGTGCCAGGCCTGTGCAAGGCACGGAGGAACAGATAAGCCGAGAGTCAGCAGATAGGGTGCCAGAAAGGCAGCTGGGGAGACCAGGCCTGGGGGTGAGAGTTGCAATATAGCTAATGGTTTTGTTGTGGGCTTTTTTTTTTTTTTCCCAAGCAATTTCTACACCCAATGTGGGACTTGAACTCACAGCCCCAAGATTAAGTCGTGCTCCACCCACTGAACCAGCCAGGCGCTCCATATAGCCAATGGGTTCTTGAGGGACCCTGGAGCACTGGGCCTCCTGCTTCTCCCACCCCTTTCTGCTTGTCCCCATCCAGGGGTCCACAACACTCAACTGCATGTCTTCCCCGGCCACTAGGTAAAGAATGGGTTCATAGGCTGGCTTTGGGACCCTCTGTCAGGGCTCTAGGGATGCCTTGAGCAGATTGGGTTTTTTAAAGATTTTATTTATTTAAGAGACAGAGCATGAGCTGGGGGGAGAGGGGCAGAGGGAGAGGGAGAAGCAGCCCCCC